ATTGCTTAGAACATGTGGAGCCATTGAAAAAAACCCTACTTTGTTTATGAAAATCTAACTAGTGACTTAATTTGATGTGGTGAATCTCAAAAGACCCCGCAAATCACAACCACTAAGGCACTCCAACCTTTTGATCTGGCATCCAAACATTGCATGACACTAGAACTAAGAAAAAAAAGAGAATTACGATCATGCGCCGAACTTAATTTTGTCGTTGAATACGAAAAGTGCGCCTTGGATGAAACATATATAGTTGTTGAAAGTGAATTTTCAACAGTAAAAGTTCATTTATTTTAACCCCTAATTTCTTGACCTAAGACATTGCAATGATATTGTTTGGCAACATGGGTTGGTTCATCATGATTGGTGTAGAAATATGTTAAGTCGTTTTATTTAAAGACTTAAATTTTATAGGGAAATACATATCTATTTAAAGCTTGTTTTCGATACATTTCTTCACGTGCATGTCTAGTGCATTTTTCCTATCGAATACCTCAATTTCTTATTATTTTATCTCAATTTTATCTTAGCTTGTAGAAATGCGAGCAATAGTTTTAAGAGATGCAATGTGTGTCCCATAATGGTTCTTTTCAAAAGAAAAGCATCATTGATTTTAAAATTAAAATATTTAAAAAAATGTTGGTGAATATTTAATATAAGTAAAGAGGAATGCAAATGACGTATAAATTTATTTGAAATTTTCTTTATGGGATTACTATATATAGCATGTTGTTGGGTATGAACATAGCAAGTTTTTTGGAGCAAATACTTCGCATAAAAGGACAAACAAATACTATTTTTATTATAAATAAATAAAATACAATAAACTATTGGAAGTGAGAAATGAGTCATTACCTTTTGTGCAGAAGATGGCTTGGCTGGAAAGAGGCCATATAGTGGGCATACCACTACTATACGGGGTAATTTAGATGTCAACATTTTCGAATCCCTTGCGCACACTTTTTCGGTCGAGTCCATCGCATTGGACTTGCCTTATGCGATTTACCTCTTCTGTATGGTTTGTGGGCTACTGCACATTGAGCGGGATTTACCTAGTGCACACTCACAGTGATCGAGGCTCTTTCCCTTCGGGGTGATCGGGGCTCCTCTGACGGGTAGTGGTTGCGGATTGCTACGTCAACAAAAATAAAATAAAAT